TGTATAAATCTGTGATGCAGTATTATACTGTCAGCAAGGGACAGGTGTTATGTTTGCACCCACAATACAGCTAGTCTCAGCTACAGATTCCTTGCTTGATATCTGTAACGGTATAGTAGATGGTCATCTTAGGTGGTGTCGTTGTTCACACTCAATCTGTTTTAGAATATGTTATTAATCCCTAAGGAAATGATGTAGTTACAGTTGCTCCAAGACAATAAGAACAGTAACAGACTGAACTAATCTAAAATATTACAAAGTATAAGAAATAGCTCAATTATAAATATCCAGAATATTACAGAGATTAAATATATGAGTGACACTGTACTCTAAACTTTAAACTGTAAAACTTTATTTTGTTATTGTCACTGTAGAGCATATGCAAATATTAAGGCTTTAACTATTGCACTGTGTACTGTGCATTAGATGGAGAAATTGTACCGAGAGAGAGCCTCAGGCAGGAATGATTTCCTGTGTGGTTCAGTGGTGCATTTAGGTAATCTCAGTCTCTCACTGAACGTGCTCCTGTGACTGGGCACTCATGGAGTGGGTGGAGGGTATTGTCCAGAATTGTCCTTATCTTGGACAACATCTGCCTCTCTGACAACAAGGGAGTCCAGCACCGTCACAACAATATTGGCAGTATCCACATCTGCGACCCTCAGCCTGCTGTAAAACAAACAATAATAATGACAGGGCCTATGAAATGTAAGACGAGTTGGACCTGTCGTTGGCATCCATGCTGCCAGTGAAATTCTTGGTGAAGCTAGTTAACGCAGTTTAAATACAACTTCTAAAAGCCAGAGACAATACCTGATATGAATTTGGCTGATCTCTCCTTCAATTGTGCGACCTTGAGCTCTTTAGTTAGTTTCCAGTGCTATTTTTAAATCACTTAGTGGAGGTCCTATTCTGATCATTTACAAGTGGCATGGATCCCATGAATCTCAAACTTGCACAGAGAAAAAACATCAGCAACTGTGTCAAACTGGCAAATGCCAGGAATTTTTGGCTGTACATACACAAGTATGTGATTAGATTCCCTGCAACTTTCCCCTTTACCAAAGTGGAATTCAAGTTAAAGGGCGAATGAGAATCCCAGAAGACCAAGTGATCAAAACATAAGTGTTCAGAAGTGATCTAATAATAGCAGATTGTGGTGAATTACTACCCAAGGTTATGACCTTGAAGAGCACTAGCTGAATTAAAATCATCTAATGGTGTTGGACAACTTTATGATCACACACATACAATCTAGAGAGTCTGAACTGAGTTGACTTATATCCCCTTTTTATATCTAACTATGTTTCTTCCTGAATGCCAGCTATGTTGGACATCAGTTCCACCATGAGCCAGTCCATGGTACGATTTTGTACAGGAGACCTCAGTGCAGAACAGTTAGCCTGTCTTGCTGCTCAACCTCTGGACCCTATTTTAGCTGCTGCACCTAAACATTCCCCTTCGCCTTGTGTTCCCCCTAAAGGAATGAATGGTGAGTATCTCACTAAACTCAGCTCTCACTCTGACACTTAATCTGTATGTTAATGAGTGACTCCATTTCAAATGCCTTCTTAAACAATTTCCTTACAGTGTGTGTAGCTGTTAACCTTTGGTTCTTGGTTGATTCTGAATTCCCAAAGTGTATGCGCCATAGTAATTCATTTTTCTCACACTGCTATTTCAAAACTAAAATTACTTTCCAGTAATTATATATCTCAAGCCTGATAAGGAAAATACTTGGCTAATAATGCGAGTCATTTTATGACAGTTGCATTTATTTTTCTTAGACAGCTGTCTGGAGCAGATAAGAGTGACTTGCTTGCACTGTCCAGTCTGGATATTAATAAACCATTTCCTAGCCCAGTGGTAAATCTGTCTTAGATGAATTAACATATAAGCCAGTATTAAAGGTGTGAGCTTCAGATATACCTTACATAACAGTTCAGATGAAATTGCAAAGGGAAATATTAAGCAAAGTAGAAACGATGTCTGCATTTTCAGTTCTTTAATGCATTGGTTTCCAAAATGCCATCCCAGCAGTAAATAAAACACTATGTAAATTTGCAGGGTGCATTTTTATGCTATATTCTATTGTTTTGCAGACCGCCTATTTTATATTTACACCTCGGGGACCACAGGATTGCCCAAGGCTGCCATTGTGGTTCACAGTCGGTATGTTTTCTTGAAGAATCACTACCAAAAGAAAAAAAAAATCACCTTTCTTCAAAGTTAATACATTTAATGTTTATCTGGGAATCTCTGTTTTCTTTGACAGCTATTACAGAATTGCTGCTTTTGGGTATTTTGCCTTTCGCATGCGCTCTGATGACATTGTCTATGACTGCCTGCCTCTCTATCACTCAGCAGGTATGTGGTGCTAGTCTACAGATTTTTAATGACTACAGTTTCACCTTCAAGGTTTGATCAAGTTTTCTTCTCTTTCCAGGAAACATTATTGGAGTTGGCCAGTGTCTGATCCACGGCCTCACTGTTGTAGTGAAGAAAAAATTCTCTGCCAGCCGCTTCTGGGAAGATTGTATTAAGTACAACTGCACTGTAAGCACCTATTGATTTCATTAGTATGGCATTTATAATAGTTTTTTTGAAGTTATTCATAAACCATGAGGTTTTGAACAATAAGATTTTTTTTTTTCTTCCCTCGGCTTGTAGGTGGTGCAGTATATTGGGGAAATCTGCCGCTACCTCTTGTCTCAGCCCGTGCGGCCAGCTGAGAAGCAACACAAAGTACGGCTTGCTGTGGGAAATGGATTGCGCCCCAGTGTTTGGGAAGCCTTCATGGAGCGTTTTGGGGTGGCGCAGATTGGCGAGTTCTATGGGGCCACCGAGTGCAACTGCAGCATTGCTAACATGGATGGCAAGGTCAGCAACTACCATGTAACTTGACATGCATGTCCTCACTATTACAATGTTAATTGGATCAGAGTTTAGCTGATTCTATCCTGCCAGGTGGGAGCCTGTGGATTCAACAGCCGTATTCTTCCCAATGTGTACCCCATCCGTCTGGTGAGGGTTGATGAAGACACTATGGAACTTGTTCGGGACAGCCGTGGGTTCTGTGTGCCTTGCCGCCCTGGTACTGAACATCTATACAGCAGTTACAATTTGAAGGGTTTTGGGAGTCTTTGACCTATGCTGGTCTTCTTAGAGTGCTAAATTATAGTCCTCCATGCCTTGCAGGGGAACCAGGCCTTCTGGTAGGCCGCATCAACCAACAAGACCCATTAAGGCGTTTTGATGGCTATGCTAACCAGGATGCTACAAAGAAGAAGATCGCTCACAATGTCTTCAAGAAAAATGATTCTGCTTATTTATCAGGTTGGGAATAATTTTTGTTTGATGCACCTATAAAGAAATTATTGTCCCTCATCTTTTCTAAACAAACATTCATGAAGTCTACTGCAGTTCAGTCGGCTTGGCAGGAAATAGATTGAGTTCATTCAGATCACCTGGAGTCATTTCTCCCTGTTACCTGGCAAAATCAGCAAATTACCATATGATCAAGTTGATAATGATGTCTCGCACAAAGTTTTGTTTTCAGAGTTTATATATAAACTTTTACTGTGACATCCACCTTGCTACAGCTGATTATCGATGTAGTGGGAGCTTCACCCATTTTTCTGCCTGTCATTGTTTATGCTTGCATAGCTTGCACATCACATTTTTAAAATTTGCTACATTAAACTTGTGTTTTTCAAGTGTTCAAGGTAATTGTTATTCAAACAAAACTTGGAAGTTTAAATAACTCATGTCAGTGATTAATAGCTGTAAAAACCGCACAGGTACTTTGCTTTACCTCCACCCCAGGTGACGTGTTAGTGATGGATGAGCTGGGCTACATGTACTTCCGGGATCGCAGTGGGGACACCTTCCGCTGGCGAGGGGAAAACGTCTCCACCACTGAGGTTGAGGGTATACTAAGCAATCTTCTGGGTCAAACTGATGTTGCAGTGTATGGTGTGGCAGTGGCAGGTAATGGTTCATGTACTTAACTGCCTTTAGCATTGCATTGGGACTATGTAGTTCCCCTTTATTGTTTAGTGATTTTAAAAGAACTCAGTACTACAACTATTTATTTCTATGCTTAACTCCAGGTGTGGAAGGTAAGGCAGGCATGGCTGCCATTGCAGATGCCACGGGGAGTTTTGACTGCAGCAATTTCTTGCAGGATATCCAACGAGTTCTTCCTCCGTATGCTCGCCCTGTGTTCCTGAGAATCTCCCCACATGTAGACACCACTGGTAAAATGCTCCTTTAGTTTTATGCTACCACTGATGACTACATATGAAAACAAATTATAATCTGTGTGTATCAATATTTCTGTATAGGTACATTTAAAATCCAGAAAACCAGGCTGCAGAGGGAGGGATTCGACCCACGACTCACGAATGACAAGATCTACTTTTTAAACACCAGAGGTGCACGTTACGAGGCCATGAATGAGGAGCTATACAACGCTATAGTCGAGGGAAGAATGTCTTTATGATCTGGAGGCTTTAGCAGGGCAGTCAGGGACCCTTACTTAAACAGCTACTTTTCAGAGAATGAGTAATATACGGATATAGGAGTGTGTGCATCACTCAGCCTTGATGTACCACAGTTGCAGGGAAGAGACTGAGCGGGCTTCCGACATGGAGAGAGTACTGTAACAGATGATGTTTTAACACTGTATAGTAACACACCAGAACATGATGTGTGGGCATTTATTCCCTTTAATAGCATCTTTGTCCATTTTTAAAATCTGAGCATCACCGCACATAGAGTGGAGTAGAAATCTTACATTAATGTGAGTAGGAAAAAAGGGTAGTCAGGTTAAACTTTGTTACATGGTATGTACCTGTTTATAAACTGTGCTGCAAGATTAATTCTGTATAGGTTTAAACAATAGTTTTGTGTTATTGCTGTGTGTATGAATGAGGCTAAGAGACCAGAGTTCAACATGCAGTGTATGTGGCTACTAGCTTGAACACCCACCCTTGACATTTTTATCTTTGACATGTTTATTGCAATGGGAAACTAATCCCACTTGTCAAATCTGAACTTCTGAGGACACTTGTTTACAAATATGCCAGCATTGCTGTTTTATGTGCCTTTTATGAAACTAAGAAACTAAGATCTGTATTTAATGACTTTATTTTTTAATATGAGCTTAACTGTGTGTCGAAATCACAGAAGTGATATTTTCATCATACGATACTAGGTCACATATAGTAACTGTTATTGTGTAAAAAATCTCATTACTGTTGTAAGATGTAGTTGTAAAGCTTGGGAAGATATTCACAATCATGGATCTGTTGGAAATTTTTTAACTCAAATGAAAGATTTTAAACTGTGTCTGTTTAAAGCAATTAAAGGTTACTTTAATATCCTACTGTAACCTGGATCATTATGAAGAGCCTCAGAGTTTACAGAACAATTTCATAATGTCTTCAAGTTGATTTACTGTTCTGTTGATAAGGATATCTGTGAGGGTAGAATTTTCAGTGGATGCTCTTTGCAAGCAGTGCAAAAGTAAGGAAAGGCTCTAGGCGTGACAACATCTGTGAAGGTGTAGAGGGGTGTTCTCTGTCTAGGGTCGTAAAAGGTCACCTTGCCTCTGTCCATGTCTAAAACCACTCTTATCACATCCGGCTTCTTGGTCATGTTGAGCGGCTCCCACGGTGCTGTGCAGGCTTTATGCTCTCCATTGCGAAACCTTATAGTCCAGAATCCCTCTGCTGGTGTTAGAATGTGTTTACCCTTCCTGTTGATTGACTCACTGGCTACCCCGACCACCCAGTAGGTGTTGTCATTCACCTCTACATCCCAACTATGGCGTCCAGAGGAATAGCCCTCAGCGGCCAGCATCTCAGCACTGACGTCAAAACGTTCTGGGTTGTCTGGGAGCTTGAAAATCTGGGTAGAGTTCTGCACAACTGCGAGATCCTCGGAGATGATGAAGCAGCTAGCTGCTGTGTTCGGATCCAGAATCACAGGAGCTTGGGGAAATAAGTAAGAAGTTGGTGCTGTGATTGGCATAAAAGCATGACAGTAAAACTGGTAAACAAATTCTGTGTGTGAAACTCACTGTATTTGACTATCCTCTTCATCTTCTCCCACACTTTATATTTCAGAGAGCCCAAGTGCTTGGCCACATCAATCAGAGCACTAGATACCATTTGTGGATCGGGAGAACTTTGCCAGGTTCTGAAAAGATACTCGAGCAGTTAATTTGTGAATATTGTTAATAAGCTGAAGTGGATGTGGTAGCACTTACCTCCTTATTGTTTCCTTGTATTTCTGAAAGTAAAAATAAAGAGGATCATTAATCAAATGATACTTTCAAATATATAAAAACATTACAGTCAGCTTGCTGTTCTAATTGATCTGGTCTACCTTAAGAAATGGGATATCTTGAGTTGACATCTCCTGTTCAACTAATTTGATGGTGTTGGAAAGAGATGCCATTTCACCATTGATCTCTTCAATCGTCTGGTTAATCATTAAGTTCTTCTGATCCTCCTCAGCCTTTAAATCAGAAAGTCTGGCAGCCTCCTGCTCTTTAAGGAAACGGTGAAGGGCTTCAAATTCCTGTTTGATCTGTGTTTCAGTCTGTTCAGCTTGGTTCTGGAAAGACACATGATTGATGAGTAATCATTGCTTCCGCACCTTGGCTCTTTTTGAAGTCCAAAGCAACATTTGGAACTGATGGAACCGACAGTACCTTGGCATGTTCTGCCATTTCCTCACAGACCATTTTTGTCTTCTTGTACAGCTGTAATTTCTCTTTCAATGGCAAGAGTGCACTCTTTAGTTCCTCCTTTAAAAAAAAAAAAAAAAGAAAAAGAAAAACAGGCCATCAACTCTTTAAAACAAGGTCACTCTGGCAGGTGGCCAATCTGCCAGCACAAAGCGGGGCTTTCAGCTGCTGCATACCCTTCATGGCAGCATTCCATGTCAGTGCAAAGCTGCACATTACATCAGCATTGGCTTTAAGAGACAAATATCTTTTTATCTGGTGACAAACAATATCAAGCATCCAAACAGGAGTATAATATAGGCTCCTATAGTTTTATTTTCCAGATAAATATTAAATGTTTACTGGTCTTGAGACCAGGCAGAAGAAGGCATGAGTAGAGTTAATGTGGCGTCAGAGAAACCGTGTGGGAGTCAAGTTTCAGTTCTTTTCGCACAGCAATAGCAACAGTAAACCAAATATATAAATCTATTATTAGAATGTTAATGAACACTGTCAGAAAAAAAGCTTCACACATATTGTATCAGCATATCAGACTATGAGAAATACAAAAGAAGTTCAGAAGAGTAAAGTCAAAAGTAATGAAAAAACTTCTTTTTTTTGACAAGATTTCAATTAAAATACAGTTGAGGTACAACATGATGCATCACCTGTTTATAAAGTGATAAACAGTCTTTGAGGCTGACTTCTGAAATATTTTCATATCCTTAATTACACAGGCTTAACCTTATTGTTAATCTTAGGTTGTAGTCATTGACTTGTCATTTACCTTGCAAACACTGTGGCTGATACATCAACAAACATTTTTTTCATTATCCATTGCGTCATTTGCAGATAGAGATTGTTTTGTGCAAATTTATTTATGTTTAAGATAAGGAAATCTAATTAAACCGTGCAACTTATGTTTGCAAAAAGTAAATGGTCTGAGTATCCCTGTGACCTTAACATGCTTACCTTGCAGTCATGGGCACCTTCCCCGATGGCATAAAGCCGGTGCCCAGAGTGTGCAGCTGCTTTCCCACATAGACCACAAATTGGCTCTAAGTCTTCCACACAGAAGAGTGTGAGCTTTTCTCCATGCTCTTTGCAAGCCTCTGGGTCATTCTTGCTTCTGTCCTTCTTGAAGGATTCACAGGCCTTCTCGAGCACAGTGCTCACGACTATTTGATCCATAGAGGAACGGCGCCAGCAAAGAGGACAGTAGTGTGAATGTGAATCCCCACTGTCTTGTGTGTCCCAGCTGTCTTTCAGACAGGCTTTACAGAATTTGTGTCTGCAAGTGAGCACCACAGGCTGACTTAGAATATGTCCACACACTGGGCAGGAAAGGTCATCCTCAGTATGAGCACGTCTGGTGGCCATTCTTCTACACAGAGCTTTGATGATATGACAGGATCCAAAGCCACTCCCATGTGCTGGACGGCTACTTCTTAGCCTCAGAAATAAGTGTTAATATCTCAGCTCACACAGGCATGCTGTGTTGTGTTGTGCATGCAGATTGTGCTTTCTCAAATAAACACCACCTCTGAGAAAAAAAACATCGCTTTATCAAAGAGATTTTATCTATTCAGATGTGCACAAATAATATAATCCTAGGGATGACAGAAGGGAGAATAGTGATGATAGAGTAGCTGCACCCTCGGTGATCTTCTCATTACACTTATGTTATTATCGCCTCTAGTTATTTGAGAAGTTTCTGAAGTCTGTGTGTAATAAAAGAGGTGACTAAGAAACAATGTCCAAAATAAGACTCAGGGTGGGAGTATAAATAGAAAGAAGTCATCAACACTGGAACATTTTTTCTCTGTTAAGTTTAGCTTTGGACATGAGGCTTTTAGGAAGTGACACATCATTTTTCCATATCCCTTATGGTAGTCCTTATATTTCAAAAAAGGTGTGCAAACAGTCACATGGTGGTCATGGCGGTGGATTTGTCCATTTTAAACATCTATAAAAGCAAGCTGGCCTGTTTCTTATTAGAACAATCAACCCACCCCAAATTAGGTTGAGTGTGTTGATGGGAAAAGGGCACAGGGATTTCTGAGGAATTTGTAGTCCAATTATTATATTAGTGATGGAGTGAAAAAGATGTTGCTTCTTTTTTATGTCCACCTTTGCCTAAAAAGCTTCCTAACACATCTAAGCAAACCGTGTGAACTTTGAGATTAATTTGGTCATGAACATTAAATAAAGTGGGTTAATTTTATTTTTAGCCGCCTGCCTTCTTGTTGAGATGCCAAAGTGAAAATTTGATTTGTGCTCATGCCAGAGCCAGGGTAGCAGTTCAGACACTAATAGCAACACAAGAGCCAACAAACTTAAACACACACATACTGCATATATATAAACACTACAGTCATGTAAGAGTTTGCTCTGTAATCATGTTTCAGCTGTTTACAGTGATACTCACTTGTAAATGGTTTCTAAATGGATGAGATCAAAATAATTAGGAAAACACATTATTGCTGCTTTGCTCTGTGGATTTATGTGTTCAGTCACATGATGAGGTTTGAAGGTATTACAGTTCACTCCTGATCAGCTACATAGAGTGGGAAAAATCTGTCACCATGTGCTTGCCACTATGGATGTGTGAAGTCGAGAGTCTTTAAAATAGAGAGGACACTTTTAGTCAAGAAGGCTTTTCCACATACATTGCAGCAGCAATCATCCACCATTTGGAAATTTAACTCAGTACCAAAAAGATCTGTATCACTGTGCATGTATTACATACAAATAAGTATCCCCTTGTAGCCAAATAGAGTGGGAGAGAGCCTTTAGTTTCACCACAAATTAACACATATGAAAGGAAGGTTTCAAGCTAGGCTAATGTAAAATTTAAAGAACACAAGTGAAAATATTCCTCTTGTATGTATGTGATGAAAAAAGACAAAGTATGAGCCACGATGATTATAATTGATTAAGTGAAAACTGTTTTTAGGTGCCCCTGCAATAGATTGGTAACCTGTCCAGGGTGTATCCTGTCACTCCCTCTTTCAAGTACAAAGATCAGCACTAAAATACATTTTCTGGTAGAAGAATTAATTAACATTGGGAATAATTAAGGAATTCCTTATGTAAGTAAGATCCTAGAAAAGGTTTGGTATTAACAATACACTTACAGGCCTAAAACAGAATAGAAAAACAGTGAGGAAAGCAATTAACCAAGACTAAAATAATAATTGTAATAGTAATAGCAATAATAATACTTATAATGATAGTAACAAGTATGTAATATATGTAATGTAATGTTAACACTAGACTGTTTATAAATTCACATAAATTCTTTGACACAAAACAAAAAAGAAGGATTTTCTGTTTTATATGACAGATTCCAGGAACAACATCTAAGATCTCTGTTAAGAAGAGAGCAGTCCTAGGAACAGCTAAGAGACCCTCAAGCTCCCAGGCCTCTGGTAGAGGACATGATCTTGAAGGACTGACCGCCAGCAGGGGTGAGAGGGGATTTTTGTTGTTGTTTTTTTTTACTATTAACAGCCTATTATGACAGAATAACTCCCAGTCAGTGTCCCAATGTGACCAAAACTGAGAACGCCTTCTCTTCAAACATAATTTAAATACTGAAAATATGGTGCAAAAGTTGGCTTAACTTTCTAAAAGAAAATGTCTGACTATTAACAAAATAGTAATTATTTGTTATTTTAAGACATTTTAAAAACAACACTGAAATGTTTCGAATCACATGGTCCACTTTAATCATTTTCACATTGGAATGACAAATGTGGAAAGACAAAAGAGCATTGATGAGTAAGCAGAACAGACACTGTACAAAAAAAAAAGCAAAAGAATTAAATGCTCAAAGTGTGTAAGTAAGTTGTTGTGAAACAAAACAACAGCATAGACCATTCATCAGCTCCTTCAAGTTTGAAGTCTTACTTTAGCGCAGTCAATCTTAAAAAGATTTCTTTTCTGGCTGAAGTGAGGTTAAGGCCAAACTGAACATAAACTCTAGTAGTACTACTAAACAAAGTATACCACAGAAATACAGTGGCTCACGTGGAAATTGAATTACATGGTGAATTACTTGTGCACCATTTAACTCTAGAATAAATGATTAAAGTAAATGATTGTCAGTTTAACACGAAACATAGTGAATGTTTAATTTACCTTTAAAAAGAAAAACAAACTGACAGGGTATAATGGGAACTCAAGATATTGCCTAATATGACCAATATTAGATGAGTTATGAGCAACTATGTACATTTTCCATACTAAATTTACACAGAAGAAATTAACTATTAATTTGCCTTGTAGTGTGCTGTATTAAATACATATTCTGATTATTTGATTTTTTTTTACCTAGTATTTCATTAGCAAACACTTACAATTTGACTTACTATTGTTATACTATTTGGCTTCAGTAACAGTTCTCATCTTACAACCATATTATTATTTCACTCCTTGATATTTGTTTTTTTAATCTCATCCTACTATGGTATAATAACTTCACATCAGCTTCCTGTCATGGTGATCAGAGGAACGCCCAGAGCGCTGGTGTCGTACCTCAAGGTGTTTGCTCTGGACACGTTCAAAATGCTGGAGCAGCTCACTGTAATCCACCTGAGCGTGAGAGGCACGTCTGGAAGCCACGTGCTGTTTAGAGTCCATATACTTGGATTCATCTACAGTCCTCATGAGCTCTGGATTGGGAACACAACTCAAGCGGTGGGAGAGCAGTTGAAAGGCCTGGCTCTGAGGCAGCAGCATCAGCAGACCGTACAGTGCCTTTATCAGGTATGGGTTGTTCTCCACATCGAGGAGCTGCAGACGCAAGTATGTAAAAATGGGGCTTTCTATAAGCTGTACAAGCTTGTCGACCTCCATCAGAAAGTCAACTGTAACCTCGAGATTTCCAAACTTTTGGATCAAATCATAGGCATGCTTGTAGTTCTGCGTGAGGAAACAAAGTGAGACAGTCGCCACAGGGTTGTGGCACCAGGAACGATACAGGCAGCAAAACAAAGCACAGCTCTCCTGAGTGCGCAGGTCTTTCAGCTGGTTGCGCAACTCAAAGAGCTCAGCTGAGGTGAGCAGGATAGTGTTGAGTGTCTGAACCATGGTGGATGCAAATTTAAGGTCCTCCTCCTTCAACAGGATGTCAGCCATGGAGTGGAAGATGTTCTCTGCATGAAGCAACAGACACAACTGTCTGATGATGAAAGCTCCTCTGTTCTCCAAAAGCTTTCTCTCCAGACTGAAACGCTTGAGCAGGTTGATCATGAACTTGTAAAAATAAGAGTTCATACTGGGAGTGGAGGGGGATGAGTCCACCCCCTTGGATCCTGTGCTGGACTGCTGTGCAGGCTTCACACTCTCTGGTACCTTGAGCACCACTTTATTGTCAGCGTTGTCACAGGACAAATTTTGGTCTGTTTGGCCAGCAGGGGATGATGCTATCTCAGCTAAGACCTCCAGATCTTTCAGTATGACCTCATCGGACTCATCGGACAGAGTTTTCAGGAGCATGGGAAAGAGACTGTCTGTGTGGCGGAACATTTTGCGTGGTGTCTTGATGTAGAGGTGATAAAGCCATTTAAGCACAGCTATGCGGGTCATCATGCCAGTGGAGGAGTCATGAAGGTGGCGGTCCAACACCTGAACAATGCCATCCAGGTCCAGAGTTACCTGAGGCCTATCAGCACTTGCTGGAGTGAAGAAACTGATATTGCTGAAACTAACAGACTCCTGGGATGCATTCAGCATATCATTGCTGTCTGTCTCTGTTTTGGGCTTGTCATTTTCCTTAGATGGTGACCCTGTGCTTTCACGCCTTTCCTCCTCCTCTTCCTCATCATCCTCAGGAGTGACCAGTTTCATTAGACTGTAATTACAAGCACTAGCAGCTTCTTTAGTATTCTTCTTTCTGTCATCATAGGAAAGGCAAGGCAGCACTGCAGTCAGGATGCCAGAAGAGTACGGAAGCATCACTCTGCCCGCAAGCTGGATGAACTCCCTCATCCATGTCATAGCTGTCAGCTGGATCAGATCATTTGTTAATTTGGTCTCATCTGCAGCCTGGCAGTGGATAACCAATATGTTGGCCATCTCAGCAAACTTCACAGTAGAGGGAATCTTCTTAATCTCCTTTAGAAACTCTCCAAGCACCACCTCGCAGGTCTTTCTAATCTCTTTGCTATTGTCCCCCATGATCTGGAAGAGCCCATCCAAGATCTCAGGGAGATAGTCTAACAGGTGGATGTCTGGCACAGACTCCAGAACATGAATCCAAGAAATTATAAACTGCCTGGCATACTGATTGTTGGAGTAGATTCTTTCTCTCAACAGTGGAACAAATGCCACTAAGTCAAAACTGTTGCTTTCGGTGACAATGTCTTTCAGTAGTCTATCAAGGAGTTCAGATCCGCTTTTTACATTTGGGTCAGGATCTGCTGCAAGTTTGCTGAGACCATCAAAAAGCAGGTTGAAGTGGGGCAGCACAGCTCCCCTAGCCACTTTGACTATGTTATAGAGGGCCTCACAGGCGTAGTAGCGCAAGCGGCTGTCTGAGTCATTGAAACACGTGAGTACAGGCTCAATGAGCTCCTTCAGATACAGACCCGACTCTTTTCCGAGGGCGATGGAGCAAGCTGCCAGTCCAATGAGACCCCCTTTCCGGCTGTGCGGGTGTTGAGAGAGGGCAAACTCCGAGGCTAAAATCTGGATCACATGTCTGATTTGAGTGGCGTTGTTCTGAGCCACAAACTCCCGCACCAGCTTCTCGATCTCTAGAGCTGCGACTTTCCTCTTTTCGTACAGTTTATCATTCAGAGCCCTGACGATGTTGGGCGTCAACGGCGAAAAGTCTTTCTCCGTGTTCATTTTCGCAGCTGCGTTGGTCCCGGATGCGGTCTGCTCAAATCTGCGTCGATATGCGAGGAAACGTATTGCATTTAATTAATTTGATGAAGAGACAGTCAGCTGCTTCTGCTTTCATTTGCTAAACCAGGAAGCTTTCTAATACAACGCAGCTGACCGGTTACATCCACCGGAAATACGTCACGGTTGCAACATTTATTTGGGTCCCGCTTTGTGTGTATCGTTACCTCAGATTAGCTTGATTAGTTACGTGTTCAGCCAATGAGCGTTTTCGTTTTCTTTGCTAGCTAACGACATCGCACGTTGGATTTTAAGCATACTTTCTCTGAGCTGTTTGTGTCGTAGCCACAATCAGCAGCCATGGCGAGCCGCCGCTCTTTTCACTCGCAGCTCTCGTCCATCATGGAGACGATGGCCAGGTCTGCTTTGAGCCAGGTCTGCAAACTTGTGGACGAAGACTCGGCTGAGCTGCGGCAGGAGCTGTCTCAGCTCCTGTTTGCAAATTCAGCCCTGGCAGAGAAAGTAAACAGCCTGGAGTGCAAGCTGACTATAGTGAGAAGCGACGCCCCTAGTTTGTGCAAAAGTTATCGCAGTGTGGGTGTGCAAACTATGTGCTTCAGAGACGAGGATGCTGCTGGTAGCTGAATTTATTCGCAAAAGCAAATCTGATTTCGTGATCGCCATCACTTTTGTATTTCGTTGTGTGTTTATTTCATACTTTTATTGTTTTACCTTTCTTTAGTGCCTGGGCCTCCCACCATAGAGGGAATCTTTGGGAAAGATTGGTGCATGAATCTATGGAAAGACAGAGACCCGTACAGTCTGCAGAGATACACAGACTCACCACAGTCCCCTGATAAGGTGAGAACAAGTTAGACTCGGGTATGACGTATTTGCTGTCTTTATGCCTATGAGCAATTTATAACAGAGTTTCCAGACAGGCAACATATATAAATGGTTTAATATAGAATACTGATTACCAGGGTACACACATTCTGCTTATGCACATTGAAAAGCAGACCTTATTTTAAATGTGTTTAATAATAAAATGTAAACAAAGTAATGCTAAACAATTCATTTGGAATAATATGGCGTATTTATGATATTAAAAAATCTAAACACGTGCACATCTTCCACAGCATCTTTTTGTTTTGGTTTTATATCAAAATTTGCTGCTGATCATTTCATCATTAGTTACAACTGACAAAGCGTTACTGTTACAAACATATTGCTGTATTAAACTACAATTTAGGATCGGATGTTTTCTGTTTTGTAGTCTGTGACAGCACTATCTGACCAAATAACTGTGACTGAGATCAAAGAGGAAGACTACGAGGGGGATGCTGTCAGTCGCTGCCAGCAAGAAACGCTCAGCACAGAAGGTAAGTGAGGGAAGAAGAACTTAGCCAGGGGAATATACCCTGCAGATGTAGCAGCTTTAGTAGCTTTTTCAGTGTTTGAATTTTTGCTTTTGTGCAGCAGAACATGAAGACAGCGTGGCTGAGGAATCAGAGCAACTTTCTGTTGGTTACACGTTCGATGGCAGCACTTGCAGTCTGTCTTTTGATCAAGATGGGGAACAGGTTGTATCGGTGGGTGGTATTGAAGAACCATCTGTGCAGGTGGTATCCATCAATGATACAGAAGAAGCTTTCAGCACTCATATCATTCCAATCGAAGAGGATGACAACGATGATGATGATGATGTTCAGTTTGTTCAGGAAAGTCAGCAGGAGCCAGCAGTGAACACTACTGAAGTTGGGCCCAGCCATGAGGAGCAGCAAACAATGCCAGTAGACAGTACAGAAAAAGACTCTGCTGTGGATAAAGAGTCTCACGATGACTTTAATGTGCGTAACACAGAAACTTCCAGAAATCAAAACAGAGAGAGATTTACTTGTCAAATATGTAACAGGACATTCTTTCACAAGGGCACTCTAACACACCACATGAAGTCACACAAGTCAAACTTTTGCAGCATCTGTAAGCAACACTTCCCACACAGGAACAAGTTAAACTCACACAGCTGCCTGCCTCCAGTGCCATCTCACAGAATCAGTAAGTCGTGCGAGTTGTGCGGGAAGAGCTTTGCCAACCCATCAGCTCTGAGGATTCACTACGTTGTCCACACAGGTGAGAAACCCCACAGGTGCAGCTTATGTGGGAAAGGGTTTACCCAGAAAGGCAATCTGAAGTGTCATCTGCGCATCCATACGGGCGAGAGACCGTTCCGCTGTGTTAAATGTGGGAAAACCTTCACGCAGAAGGTGAACCTCAACCATCATTTAATGGCACATAGAAATCGAGAGGTTGTAGGCGAGAGGCCCATACCTAGGAGACACGTGAAGAACATGATAGCAGCAGTCAGTCAGTAACAAACTGAAGTAACTTATCAACTTTGACGCCTCTTCTACGGTTTTAAAACTTTAGCAAAAGGATAGTTAATGTTACGTCTGTAATAAATTGTAGTCTGTAGTGTTGTGCTTAAAAACTCTTGTATGGAAGAAAAATATTTTAGTAGTTTGGTGTTTTGACTTTACAAATAAAATGCAAATGTTTACATTATGATATAATTTCTTACATTTTCTACTTTTTAAAATTGCTTTTTTTGTTCAAAACTCACAAATTTGTCAGTTTTAGTTACAAGGTTTATAACGATGAACGTGCATGTGAGTACAAAGGGGAGGAGTTTCAGGAACAGATTTTTCTTTGGTAAATATAATTCACTGAGCTGGGTCAGCGTAGACTGTTCAGGGCAATTATTACAGGAACATTTGTTGTAAATCTCCGTTTGGACATTAAGACAGTTCAACACAATATAAATATTTATTTCAAACAGTAACACTACTTAATCTTGAAACTTTTTGGAATTCATTCAAATATTATATGACAAACACAAGCATTTTTTTTTTAAATATCAATAACATTTTTTTCAAAGAAACAATGTATGTTGCCTAAACATAAGTCTAGGCATATGTGGAATATAAAACATGACACAAACTGATTTAATCTACTTCTATTTTGATGTGAAGAGGTAGTTTGAAGGTTTATGCTACACATGTGCAAATCATGGAGAACCTGCCTAAAGTAATTATTTTGCCACCAGCTTGGGCAAGCCTTTTGTGGTCTGAAACATGAGGTATTTAAACATGTTACACGTGCATGGATGAGAAGCCAGCAAAGCTTTTTTTGTTTTTTCATCATGGATCAGAAGTTCTCTCTCATTTTTGATCATTTCCTTGTTAAGCGTGATGTGAAATGTCTTGGGGACTCCAACCTGTCAAACTGAATCCCATCAGTCTAATGGCTCATTTAAAAAAGGACACATTTTCCATACTGTTGTTGGCTGTTGCTGAATTTGCATTTGTAACAAAGCTAAAAGCGTGCCAAAGAATGAGCAGTAATGATAACCACATGGGCATTAAAGTTGGTTTTGTAATAGAACAAGTATTTCAAATCTTCATAATGTTTTTAAACCACGTTGAGGGTTATATGGACATGTTGGCAGATGATGAGCAACTGTGGGTGATACTGAGAGCACTTCTGTCAAAAGCTTCTGGTTTGACCGACAAATTAAAACACTGGTGGTGATTTAAACCATACTTGTACGCATAACATTTCCCACAATCCACACAGCTATAAGGCTTTACACCCGTGTGTGTCCGGATATGTATATTCAAAGAGCTTTTCTGAGAAAAACTTTTTCCACAGTCTGGACAGCTGTACGGCTTTTCACCCGAGTGCACACGTTGGTGCAGTTTCAGGTACGTCTTCTGTGCAAACCTCTTTCCGCACACTGGGCAGCTGAAGGGCTTCTCGCCCGAGTGTCGCCTAATGTGGACTTTCAGGCTGCTTAAATAGTTGAATATTTTTCCACAAAATAAACACTCAAACTGTTTGGTTGGCTTCACCGGTTTTTCCTGAAGGTTGAGTTCTTTGGTTGCGTTCATGTGAATACTGTTCGTATAGTCTGAGTATTCTGTGGCAACTGAAGGAGGATTTGTGTTGTTAATCAGAGCGCCCATCGCCGCATCGTCTATTAATTTGTCCATAATTGTCGGCTGTGCGCGTTGCTGTATTTCACTGTCAGTCGTCATAGAGAAGTTGTTCAATTCCCCCGAGTGAAGTTGGAGATCATCAACAGATCTTTGAAGCATGCTGTCCTCTTCAAACATCCCAACAACTGTTAAAAAGAGAGCCACTGTAAACCAGTACACACACAGGACGGGATTATGACTTGTGTTTGGTGTCTTTTTAATATGCACTTACTTTTTCTGTTGTCTGTGAGCCTCCTCTGCTGTCCAATGGGATAATCATCAAACATCTCCTCCTTGACAAAAATCAGATCAGGTTCTCTTTCCATCATATTGATTGCCTACCAACAAGAAATGACAAGTAGCTATGAACACAGCAATCATTCAGCTAGTTTGCTGCTTGTTACAAATACAAAACTTAAACCCAGACTCCAACTGATTCACCAACCGCAGCTCCCATGCTGGTTGTAGCGGCAGTCTCCACTGGTTCTCTTCTTTGAGAGGGCAGCTTCTCTTCTCTCCACAGGTCCATGCACCAGTCCTTCCCAAAAACTCCATCAATGGCTGGAGCAGGTTGGTGCTGTTCTGGAAGAAGAGAAACATGCAACATTGGGACTTGCTAGAGAATGATGATCACCAGTATGCAGAGTAGAATCTCAGAAGAGATTATATGCAATAAAGCTATTCGGTCCACTGTAATTCTAGCCCCATACTATAAATATCATGCAGGATGTGGAAGCCCCCTGGTATATACCAGTCTGCACCGATTTCTTACCTGCAGGGTGCCGATCCCGGCGACTGACGCTGTTGTTGACGTGTTCGGGGTACGTCTGTGCCCCCCTCGCTGCTCTCAGCTGGACCTCCAAAGAGTAGCACCTCTTCTTCAGCGCCTCGTTCTCCGTCTTCTGCAAGGATATCTCGGTGTGAAGGACGGAGGAGCACTCATCAGCCAGGTTGCCTATTTCAACCAGAGCCGCCTTTGTTAGCTTATCCAGAATAACGGCCAGCTGCGTCCTAAAACTGCGGTTTGTGGTGTCGCACATCATTTCGTCAGCGAGGCTCAGTATTTGGAAATATTGAAACGATTCTCAGCGTAGGAACGCAGCTCCTTTAATCAAATGTGAAATGTACAGCTGTGCCGCAAGGAATTGTGGGAACACGCTTTCTTCGCCCCCACCCCCAAGCTGCTGAAGACAACACAGTGGAAAATTCAACGCAGCATTAGAATATGTTTTCTGCCTGCACAGATGTTTTATCTCCCTATTATAACAATATATGTGGAAATAAAGACATCTCTTTAAAATCACACCTTATTGCCAACCTCTCCACCACACTGTCCGTGCAATTCACAGCCCTGCGATGGCAAGGAACCACTGTGAATTCACATACAACGAGCAAAGTATAACAAATAAATGTATCTTTTTATTTTATTCTCACAGCGTCTGTACTTATTTAGAATATACACAGTAATGTTGAGCGCCCTCTCTCGGTCACTGTTAAAATCTGCAACACAACTTTGTTGCCAGCATGATAAGTATCGGTGTGACTTTTAGCAAAATGAGTGTCACTATGAAGAACATTCATTCATTCATTTTGTGATTGTTAGTTAATAGTAGAAACTGGCATGATAATAGTTTCATTGATATGGCTTTTTAAATCACTCTATTAGAATCACTTCCCTCTAGTGGTAACAATGAAGCACTTTAAAATCCTTAATTCAGATTTTTTTAAGATTAAGAATATTTTCTGTTTAATTATGATTGTTTTGTGAATGGGTGATATAGATGGCATAGTGGTCCACTGGATAGCAATGTTTCCTAACAGCAAGAAGGACTTAGATGAAGATCCACTAACCTTCTTACTCTGAGTCAACATTGCTAACCATTTCTTCACCGCATATAGTTATTATATAGCGTACACACAGCATATATCTGTATAGCTAATTTAATTACCTAATATAAACATAACATTAAGCCCACAATCTCAGATGGGTATGGACAAGTCACAAATTTCTGTTGTGGGTCTGAACCATCTCAAGTAATGCCAGCCCAAGGAAAATGCTGTCAAATGCTTTACTTGTGTTTCCCTGACTTAAAAATGTAAATATGCAACTGTGTAACTTAGAGTAATTTTTTTTTAAACCACACACACACACACACACACACACACACACACACACACACACACACACACACACACACACACACACACACACACACAGTAAATGCATCCAAAATATTAAACCATTTGAAAAGCAAGCATCAAAAACTCAATTCTGGAACAAATATAACTTTATTTTCCAGAACAAAAATACAGATGTTACATATGATTGATGTCTTAAGAGGTTCCATTTACAAATGTCCCACTAAACATTGGTGCACTGGAGTCACTACCATATACATTTGAAGTAGGATCAAGGTGTACTGCGAGGTGTTTTTTCAGATTGCAGTTCTTTGTAAAGCCTTTGCCACATTTGATACAAACAAAGGGTTTTTCTCCAGTGTGTGTACGCTGATGCATATCGAGTGTGCATTTCTGAATAAAGCCCTTTCCACAAACAGGACAACGATACGGCTTCTCCCCAGTGTGCGTACGCTGATGTGTATACAGGTGTCCTTTTTGTGCGTATCGCTTTCCGCATAGTGTGCATCTGAACGGCTTCTCCCCAGTATGGCTTCTCTGGTGTATTTCAAGCTGACTAAAGCATCTGAAGCTCTTGCCACACTGCAAGCAGCCAAACCTCTTAGTGGTTGAGTTCCTCAAGTTATGAAGCTTCATATTTCTGAGCACACTTAAGCTTTGGGAGGTTATATTTTGAGCCAAGCTTTTCCCAACTTCTAGGGTTGTGTCGGCAGGTGTAAGCTGTGGGTTCCAGTGCGTTTCCCTCCTCACTGTTTCACTGAAAGATGGCAGGGAGCTTAGAGGCACAAAGCTATCAGTAAACAGTGGCTGCTGGTGGTCTGCAATGTGTTTGGGACGCTGCATCACATTTGGAGCCTTCTGGGCGTCTGTGACTGTTTCTCTTCCTGTTGAAAGTAGACGTACAAGTTAAAATTCAGATTTTCTTTTTGTAGAAATGACCTTGATGATAGAAGGTTATGACAATTTTGTACAACTATGATGAGCAGAAAAGTCAAATCCAGCATGGTTACTGAAAGTCCTCGTGAATTTCACATACAGCTGTGCAATCCGACATAATAAGCAAATTTATAGTCACTGTTTTCAGCTGTCCTGTCTTGTTGAGTGTTTCCATTGTCCACCTCACATGGCTCCTCTTTCACCACTACCAGTTCTGGGTGCTCTTTGGGTTGGTTTGGAAGCTGATAAGACAGGGGGGGGGGAAGGGCATTGATTATAAATATCAGCCACAGAGTAATCAGCTATGATAACAAGAAATAAATGGCTGGTTATTGCAGACTTACTTCTGTTGCAGCATACTCTTCACCTTGATGCAAACTGCCAGTCTCAGAAGAAAAACTTTCCCACGGGATTTCACTAGGATGAAAAACACTGAGATTAAACACACCAAGCAAGAAGAACACAGCAAACAGCTACGTTCCATAATATACACACAAAGCAACATACCTACCTTTTAATTTCAAGTCTTGTCCTTTCAGTCTCCAGTACTCCGTTTTCTAAACCGTCCCTTCCAACTAAGCTCACTTCTGTCGCATCCTGCCTGCCCCCCTGTGCCATATAAAGCAGCTTCTCCATCAGCTGTAGTTTCTCTGTAAGCGAGGCAATTTCGTTGCGCCCGCGAGTTATCTCGATCTTGAGCATCTTTGACTCGATTTCGACCAGTTTGCTTATTTCCATTACAGCTGTTTTGGATAACGCATCCATGATGGAGACGAGCTGCGTCTGGAAAGAGAAGACTGTCGACATGATTTCTGTTTGTTTTGTTTTGGCTTTCCTGTCACGGTCCAGTAGTATCACGCGAACGACCTGACGCTGTCACGGGGGTCTTAATGGCCACAGCAAAAATGTTGTTGAAATGTAATGCAGGAGAAAAGCTGCATGTGCATGCCTTCGAGGTGCGCGTGAGTGTCGCTCCAAAACTCGAGTGGGGCTGAAGTGGGTTCACTGTTTCCATCTGTCGGCTGGGAGGAAACATCGCAATTACAAACAAAACTTTAAAATTAGCGCTAATGTTGACAAAGAGTCCTGTTTTGACATCAGGGATGATTGTTGATTTGTAAAAGTTACCACAGCTTCCGGGGCGATTTGCTCATTGCAACCTACGTTTACTTTTTAACGCCTTTGACGTCGTGGTTGTTGTTCAGGACTACGCTAACCAGAATGCAGCACGTTATCAATCGGAATGTGATTGGTGGGTGAAAACTCGCTTCAGGAAGCAGTGTGGTGAATTACATTTGCCCATTTGCCAACTGAAAATCCTCACGATAATCTGCCTCAGAGATTCCAACTACAAGGTAAATGAATGTCACTATGAGGGAACTTGTAGAGGTAAAGGTTGCCCTGCGAGGCTGGTTGGTTTAAGATGCGATGCTTTGTTGCTCTTGCGTTAATGGCTTTCTTTTTCTTTTCTTTTTTTGAGTGGTCTAATCACAAGACAAGCCAATTAAGTTTGCTCAAAGTAGTGCAAAAATAACAGCTTCACAACAGTGTAAAATTAAAAATAAATTAAATTAAACGACTGAGTAAATCACATTTACAGAGATAGCATGATGGCTTGCAAAACTGTTTGGTAACTGACTTCCTTATATGTTGTTCACTTTTCTTCTTTCTTACTTTGTCAGTCCTTCTCACAGAGTGTAGTCATGGCTGGAAGGAGAGTCCTGGTCTTCCCCTCATCAGCAGAGCTCGGTCCAGTCCTGGCCCAGCTGGTGACTTCACGGGCTGAGAAGGCCATCGGCTCTCATGGCAGGTTCACTCTGGGACTCTCTGGAGGAAGCCTTGTGTCCATGCTTAGCAAAGAGCTGCTTGCCCTGTCAGAGCTGGACTGCAGCAAGTGGTTGGTCGGTTTCTGCGACGAGCGCCTGGTTTCCTTTGACGATCCAGAGAGCACCTACGGGCTGTACAAGGTTTCTTTGAATTGGTGTTTGTGTTAACATAAATGTATGTTGCTCTGTTACAGTTGGATGAACTGCAGACCTTTTCATCTTGTTGCAGAGTCAGTTATTTTCCAAGATCAACATCCCCGAAAGTGGGATCTTGACGATCGACTGTTCTCTGCCAGTGAACGAGTGCGCTGAGGATTACACGCGTAAACTGAAAGAGGTACACAGCAATCACAGGCTTTTAGATTTTAGTGTCTGCAGAATGTTTACATCATTATTTTCGCTGTTAAAACACACAGGTCTTCCCAGATGATGACTTCCCTGTGTTTGACCTATTGCTGTTGGGAATGGGGCCTGATGGACACACCTGTTCTCTTTTCCCAGACCACCCTCTTCTGGAGGTGAGGGCTCTTATTCTAATGAACAATTGTCTTCTACAATAGATCTATGTTGAATTATTATGAAAAAGAATGAGTGCAGATACAAAATTACAGCTTTTTTAAGAAAGGAATCATTTATAGTTAATTCAAAACATGTGTTTTATTTTGTAACACAATATGTCATCGTGATCCTAAAAACAATGTTTCGTGCTCTTAAAATGCATTTTGGGCATTCTTCTAAATATTATCTCTCCGTTATTTTGTATAAAAGGCATATCAAGCACATTTGACTGAACTCTGGCACAGCATTTGTGGAAGAATGCCTGAGTTTGCTTTTGGATGTGGTTTCCTAATTAGCTACTCTAAGAAAACAATGTCTTCTCCCTGCAGTTTTCCAGTCACTCTCTCGACAATGCATGGATAATCACTGGGTTTTATGACAGCACAGTTTGGATTTTATGGTCTTCATAGTTATCCTTGTTAGAAGTCTGAAAAAGATCTGTCTCATGTTACATTATCCAGTTTCCCAGACATGTATTAAGCTTCGTGTTCAGCTCCAGTGGAGAAAAAAAAAGCTTTTTAGCTTAATCCATGTCTGAGAAACTGAGCCTTCATATTTGCTAGTTTAAAATTATACGCTTTTAGTTCTCATATTGTCACTTTTGGTGCAATGATTAGTTATTGCCTTTGGGTGCACCCCATATTCAGGAAACCAAGAAGATTGTGGCTCCTATCAGCGACTCTCCCAAACCACCGCCACAGCGTGTAACTATGACTTTCCCAGCGGTGAACTCTGCACGTTGTGTGGCTTTTATATCAACAGGAGGAAGCAAAGCACCCGTTTTGAAGGTAACACTTAGGGGCGTCTGCTGAACATACACATCTCAAATTCTGAATCTTAACACCCTACTATTTCCATAACGCAATAAATAAACTTTGACAGTGATGAGACAAAAATGAGACGCACCAAGAAACAAGGGTAATTTGGTTAGGCCATGTGACTCAATATTTATAGTTGAAAGGAGGACTGGGGCCAGAAGAAACACTGATAGGACTAAATAAGCCAGAGATGTGACTTTGAGCAGAAATCATTGCATTTATTCATTTATTATATTTTTATACAGTAATCTAAAACTAGATGTGAAAACTAGATTTTTCAAAACATCTGAAACAACTTTTGCAAACTTTAAAACTAACAAATTAAATAAAAATATAGAGGCAAGTTTTTAGTATTTGTTTAGTAAAAATGTAATTACAACTTGTTGACGAGGCTCTGATTATCATGTTTATTGAGACTCTGGATGTTTTCAAACAGTTGTGTGTTTTTGTTGACAAACACCCAACAATATACAATCCATAAAATAATAATTTAAAAAGTTAACTTTAAACTAATAAAAACTAAACTAAAATATTTTCAAAGAATAAAAAATGAACAGAAATAGAAAAAAATCTGAAAATTAACTGAAACTTAATTTAAAAACAAAGTCAAAATGGAAAAAAAAACTAATTAGAAAACGCTAAACTGTAATAACCTCATGCTTTATAGTTTTGTGTTTGTGCTATTGTAGCACATTAATTTCTCTCTTTTTATTTGCAGGAAGTGTTGGAGGATGGAGAAGCTTCACCGTTTCCAGCAGCACGAGTTGTCCCAACTAAGGGCGAGCTGTTCTGGCTTGTTGATGAACCAGCAGCTGCCTCTTTAACTATCCAGGTAGAGAGGCCAGGCTCAGGAGCCAAGCTGTAGATCTGCCTGACTAATACATGCAAGGAGCTCAATGAAGAGTCTGGAAAATAGTGCAGTTCATTCCTCAATCAGTGAAATGTTTGTTTGCGTGCGCACGTCTGTGTGTGTGTGTGTGTGTGTGTGTGTGTGTGTGTGTGTGTGTGTGTGTGTGTGTGTGTGTGTGTGTGTGTGTGTGTGTTTGGGGGGGAGGGGGGGTGACGACTGTGGGGTAGTGTCAAGGTACCTTTATTAAACTTTAAGCTCTGCTTCGTGTTTTTTTTTTTTTGCTCATGATTCATGTGTGTAACAGTGCATGTTCAGACACTAGAAACTCCATTCAGTTGTTCAGCAGTATATTCAACTGTGGTGTGGTGGTGAACATTGCAACATTGCAATGGGTATACAGAATATAATTTTGATTAAAAGACACACAGGTTAACTTGTGTATTTAAAAATATCTTTTTCTTCTTTTCCTTTTTTAAAGAAAAATCCATTCATTCGAATTGGGCATTTGCCCTCGGTGTTTCCTGTGCTGCAGGGCCTGTATTAGTCCACCCCCTTTATCATCCAAACAGATCCCACCCCTTTAGAGATTAACCTCGCACTGCTTTTACATCAGGGACTGTAGCACAGACTTTCCCTATCTGTGATGACGGCAGAAAGTCAAGAGATATTTCTCTATAGCCCCCGACGAGCCACAGTCCACTTATAAATTATCATTATTCTATTCCATAATTTGCTATCGCGATGCCCAGGCTCGCTGGCCTCAACGACGCCCTGCTCCTCCTGCTCCTGTCCTGCTGCAGTCCTGTCCGGGGATATTTTGCGGAGGAGCGCTGGAACCCCGAATCTTCACTCCTCGCACCCCGGGTTCTTCTTGCCCTCATTTGCAGAAACTCCGAGCACTCATTGCCGTATTTCCTGGGTACTATTGAGCGCCTCAACTACCCGAAGGACCGTATGGCACTGTGGTAAGTTGTTACTGGGTAATGTTAGATGTTGCAGACTGTTAGGCAGCAAAAAGTGAAAGTAATTCTTGTTTTTGCCACAGGTTTCTTACAGAAAAATAAGTACCGAAGGATACTTTTCTGATTGATTAGATCGATTAGCAGGAAAGGGAAAGAAAAGGGGTGGACCCGCAGAGATTGTCGGGGGTAACAAAATGGCTTTGGAAATAAGCGAAGTGTTGCGCAGAGATCATTCCGTCTTTGAAAAAACAGCAAAAGAAAATGTGAAAAACTCAAGCATAATACAAGAACGAACAAATGCATGAGTACAAACCAAGGATATAAAAAGAAATAGGCAATATTTTGCAGTCAGGGTAGGGGACAAAAGTGAGCACATCTGCTCATCAGGACAGTTGTGCGTCGTATTGATCTGTATACGTGGATGGGAGTGAACGACCGCATTGACCACGAGGGGAGCTGTGTGTTGTGTGTGATCTAAGATACAAGCTCTGACACAGTGCTCCACAAGCATACCGATGCCTGATACATTAACAATAAACGCAAAACAAGTGTCTGCCATGTGCAACTGAGTTTGGATTAGCACCATGAAAATTACCTGACCCATGTAGTCTGTTAGTAAGAGGCACCTTCCGTCGCGAAATGTTACATCTCAGGAGAAAGAAGGCAAGTGAGGTCAAACCAGGACATTATAGCTATCAAATCCCATCACCTCAGGGTTCAAAGTTTCACGTTTTTCTTTTAATTTATAACATATCTTCATCTTTAAGCTTATTCCAGTCTTCATGTACCAAAGCCTACATCTTCTCCACTTCCTGACTGGAAGTTAAACAGAGATATGCATCTGGCAAGACAAGTCCCTGTTTGTGAAGTGTTTTTCTGACATTATTATGTGTTAAATAAATCACCTAATAACGACATTCTAGACAATTTATTGATTACATTACAATGAAGTGCTAAGTAAGAAAAGACGTTATGGTGCAGTTTGATTATTAAGCTTCTCCTAGGTAAAGGCCAACCTTAGATAATGACTCTCCGTGATAAATGATTATGGAGGCTTAAACTCAGTTCTCTCTTGATGGTTCATTAAACATGTTTATGTAGACCACATTTTAGACCTAACATCTTTGCACCCTCTCCAGAAAGTATGACTTCCCAAGCTCCTTAGTCATCTGTCAGTCAAGTAAGTGAAGGAAAGCTATTTTCACCCTATACTTAATCAACATGCTTGAACAGCCCACCTGCACTTGTATCCTCAAGCAGTTTGAATGACTACCTGGTGGGCTCGGACAGGCGTGGTCTTCATTCGCTATCTTGATGAGCAAGTTTCACCTTGTGCAGGAGTAAGAGTGTCTTAAATTCCTTTTTTTGTTTGGTAGTTTGTAAAGTCTTGTGTAAATATGTTGGCGGTAAGGACAGTGTTGTTTGACACACATTAAATTACATCTGGAAAAACCAAACAACTGTGTGATCTTATAAACACTATACACTGCACACATTTTGCAGCTGTAATTGAAATCTTTGGCGTCTTATGCCAGCATTCCTACACCGCTACAGAAATAATAGCTGATGTGGAAGTGGCACACCGCTCCTAAATGTATGTTTACAATGAAAAAGTGACATAGGTCTAAACAGTGTTCTTTAATAAGCACTTATTTTATCTGAGCACAAAAGGGAAATGGGAAAGACCGACAGCTGGAGTGACTGAAAAGTGTTTTAGCAAGGAGCTGCAGTGTTTACACAGATCCATGGGGAATTTCCATGGAAATCTGTTCTAGTGTAAACCCAGGGCCAGAATACAAGCACAGCTGGCTGTAGAGCAGGTGTCTGGGGACAGCAAATCATGTTGGCCTACATGGCCAAGAAATGAATCCTGCGGGTATTGGGTTATTCTGGAGTATCATTTCTAGGCTTTTCATCCTCGTGTAGAATTAGATCAAACATGCAGGCAGTCTAACTTGGGTTCATTTGCCTCACGCATAGCCTAAGTCACTTTAAACAATTTCCTTCTCTGTCTGTTGCAAACAGAGGTTTCACTTCTGTAAAGTAGTTTCCGTACTGTTATCGTTTTTTCACATTTCCTTTATACATAACTTGTCGATGCTGACCTAAAGTTTTTTGTTTTGTTTTTTTATGGGGGATGTTTTTATTGCTGTGTGTTTTTCTGAAGCTGGTGTCCTTTACACTTGTGTCACTTCCCGCAGCTTGTACATAATGCATTTACAAAAAGTGAACACAGGGCTATTGTTATTTGAACCTTGGGTTTGTCTTTCACTCATGCCTCAACTAGAACTCAGTTTGGCACCGCTGCCTACAGTCAACCACTGTTACAAATTTCTTCTCGTTGTTACAGTTTTCCTCCTTTTACCTAGGTTCTTGATGAATGCACTTAATTCTGATAATTTACATTTTTTTCTGCATTGACAGGGTAGCAACTGATCATAATGAGGACAACACCACAGCCATTCTGCATGACTGGCTTGTAAAAGTACAGAAGCTCTACCATTATGTAGAGTGGAGGCCAAAAGAGGAGCCCAGGTTTGTTATTTTAAAGATGGAATTGTATAATGCTCAAATAGCTCACAGGAAATTGAGTCAGACATCACATGAAATGAGTTTAATTAATACTGAAATATTTTGTGTAGAAATTATGAAGATGAGGAAGGTCCAAAAGACTGGACAGATCCTCGTTATGAGCATGTTATGAAGCTTCGGCAAGCAGCGCTGGAGTCTGCTCGTGAGATGTGGGCAGACTATTTTATGGTAGGTAAATAAAACTACTCTTTACAGTTACAAAAGGAAGCAGAATTACACTCAAAATGTTGATTATAAACACTGGGCCTCACTATTTTTAACATTCAGTAATAAAAGCCAAAGAAAAAGTACAGAATTGGGACCAAAATGCCACCACAACTAATTTAAGAGGGAGACAGACTGTTAAAACTTTTCCCAGTTATGTTCTGTTTCTTATGGTTAAAGTTCATCTTTCAGTCTAGTTCATCTGGACACTTAAATCTTAAATGCACATTTCTATTTGTATTCACCAGCCTGGCCCACATTGTCTTGTTTCAGCAGGGTATAATTTTGAAGTGAAGTCTATCCAAAATTGCAATAATTTCGTGCTTTTAATCTTACATCTAAACTTTCTCTCTAAAAAACAGAATTGTAGTATATATACTGCTGGTCAGAGATCACTCAGTTTTAGTTACCCCATTTATCCTTTGGGAGCTGTTCAGCGTTTCTTCTCAAGAGTTTTGTGTACAGTGTGTTATTCATACACTAGCTGTTTTTCTTATGCTCCTTGTGCAGCTGGCAGATTGTGACAACCTCCTCACCAATTCAAATGTGCTCCGGGGGCTGATGAAACAGAACAAGACTATCATCGCGCCGATGCTTGACTCTCGTGCAGCCTACTCAAATTTTTGGTGTGGAATGACTTCCCAGGTACTGTCATGATCACTGAGAAAACCCCTTTGTGTATGTCAGAAAGTTTCAATAATCTCTGTAATAAACAGCCTAACAACTCTCATCCTCCAGGGTTATTATAAGAGGACACCTGCCTACATACCTCTTAGGAAGCAGATACGAAAGGGCTGTTTTGCCGTTCCTATGGTACACTCCACGTTCCTAATAGACCTCAGGAAAGAGGCCTCCAGGCAGCTAGCCTTTCACCCACCACACCCAGAATACAGCTGGGCATTTGATGACATTATTGTGTTTGCTTACTCTGCTAAGATGGCAGGTAATTTGATATTATCCAACTTAAAGTCTACTTATTTTTATCATAAATAATGTAGCTTCAGATTAAGTTTTCCTATTCTGTGTTCGCTACAGAGGTTCAAATGTTTGTATGTAACAAGGAGACCTATGGATACTTCCCTGTGCCACTACGTTCCCACAATACTTTGCAAGATGAAGTGGACAGTTTCTTACACACTGTGTTAGAAGTTAATGGTGAGTGGCTGAGAGCTTTACTTTTGCAACCCCCTCACTCTTAACCACTGGCTTATTTAAGTCTTAATTCTACTCTCTTCTGCTTCATCTAATGGTAACTTTCAGCATGAGTTTCTAAATATCATTTATACCATTTCTGCATCCATCTTCCCTCTGACTGTGTAGTGCGAAATGCCCCAGTGATGCCATCCAAATACATAAGTGTTCCTAGAAAACAACCTGA